TTTCCAAACTTATCAGCCAGTATAGCATCTTGTAGTGCCAGTTAATCACACTACTCTCTAGAATAGTTTGATTTAAATTTCACTCAGAGTAGAAGCCTGAAAAAGAGCAAATCCAACTCTCTAACTTAGAAAAAGGAATTAAGAATGCTTTGCTTTATATAGTTATAACAATAAGTTTGTAATTCAATTGTGTAAAAGACAAATGAAAGTAGCACTTTCTTTCTAAACATGTTTCCTATTATCAAATAATGTATGATAAATGGAAATCCATGCAAACATATTGATGCTAAAGTAAATTAAGCTTAATAAAAAATGCATAATACAAAATAAAAATCAGATTTGCAGACTTGCTGCATGCCACAATTTAGAGATTTTAGTCAAAAGCTTCCCTGAAGTTAGCACACATAAGTTGAATATCAGTGAAGAAAGATTATTTTTGCCATCACCAAAATTCCCATACAAAGCCAAAGATGTTGACTTGAACATAAATTAAGACGTACTAAAATACACATGCTGTTCTGGTGACAAGTAAATTTAGAGTATAAAGCACTCTTGCAAGACATGATATTTATCCTAGAAATGTTTTATAGAGTCTGGAAAAACTAAATGAGACAATGGTTACATCAGAATATGATTTGCTGACCAGCAATAATTGGTATTCAAGAGAAAAAACAGCTCAGGAAGGAAAAATTGCAAAATACAAAGAGCACTCATATGACAACATGAGAAGAAAAACTTTTATGTCTAGATAATGACCATTAAACTACTAGAATCAACAAAAAAGAAAAATTAAACAGTACTCAAAAATCAATCCAAACTATTACTCTGATATCGAATTTTTATTTTTAGTCTTTCTCTGGGCATGTCTAAAAATCTGTCATTACAATATTATACACTTTTCACCTCCCTATGATGGCAGCAACATACCACTCCATGCAAAACTATATTGTGTGCTTAGGTAACCACTGGGAGATAAAATCTTATGTGTTAATTGTATGACCATTCCTCATTAGGCCTGCTAAAGGTCCAGTTTTCAACCTAAAGGAATCCTAGGTAGGTAGGCTGAACTTCAGAAACCACTATTTACTCACCAAGAGAGCTACTGAATCCAGTATCCACTTTAGTAGACAGCACAAGTAGCTGCATGATTCAGAGGTACAAAATGGTCATGTCCCAGAGTAAAGGCAAACTTAAGGACAATGGAAATCTGCAGTTAAATAGCGGATCTTGCTCTTACTGTGCAAATCAGAGGAAGTTATCTAACCTAAATTTTAGTTTTCCCACCTGCAAAATGGGAGCAATAATATCTACTTTACAATATTAAAGACTAAATGAGATATCATAAGGCACCTGGCATGAGTGCTATGTGCTCCAAGTCCTGGTTTTAAACATTGACAAAAGAATACTCAAGTATTATACCGTTTCTATGTTTAAAAAGAGAAGAAAGAAGATATGATGTAGGGATAGACATAACGGATCCCAATATTCACCTGTTGTAAGCAGGTAAAGTGCTAAGACGGGAGGGAAGGGCCATAAATTCCCATAACTTAAAGGCCTTAAACTCTGAGAAAAAAATTTAGCTGCACCCATTAACACATCATATAGTTTAACTCAACTCAATGTTAGAGGATTCCAAGAAAACAGACTTCTTCCCACATTCACTGAATAATAATCTAAAACATGTTCATACCATGTTTTAGGCAATGGTGAAACCAAAGAGTTCTTAAAACTAAAATAAACCATTGTTTTCATATATAAATTTGGTGGCAAAATCAGTCCTGAACTTCAACTAGCTAGAAGCTCTACAGTCTTCATTATTGCATTGAGTACAAACATTTATGCATAAGTTTCATTTTGTGGTAAGATTCCCAATGATGTGATATATATGACATACTACAGCAGCTTCTGAAGTACAAAGTATTCCAAACTCTAAAACACATGTAGCCCAAGGGTTTCAGACAAGCAAATCTGAACAATCTCTACTTAAGGGGAAAAATAAGGTCAAATAGATACATAATGAAAGAGGTAAATTGCCTAAGGCATAGACTTGCAGTTAAGGATTTTCTGTCCTTCTCAAGTCAGTATTAACTTTAGAACCTTTGATTGTCCTACAATATGGAAACAATAAAATTAATTACATCACTGATTTCTTGAAGAGATAAAGAGATAATATACATAAAATGCTTCAAACAATGCCCAGCACTATGTCCAATAAATGCAATATAATAGGAAAATAATTTGAACATTTAGTAGTGTGACGGTTTATCTTATATGTCATATGTCATGTTTATCTTATATGTCTTGACTGGGTTAAGTTATGCCCAAACAGCTGGTAAAACATTATTTCTGGGTGTGTCTATGAGGGTGTTTCCAGAGGAGACAAGCAATTGAATACCTTCCCCTCACCAATGGGTGCAGGCATCATCTGATCCATTGCGGGCCTGAATAGAACAAAGCAGAGAAGGGCGAAGGTTCTCTCTTCTGGAACTGGGACTTCCTGGCATCAGACATTGGCGCCCCTGGTACTTAGGCTCAGAGTGGGACTTAATATCACTGACTCCCCTTGGTTCTCAGACCTTTGCATTTGGACTGAAACGGCACCACCAGCTTTCCTGGGCCTCCAGCTTGCAGACAGCAGATCATGGGACTCACCCTCCATAATCATGTGAGCCAATTCCTCATAATAAATCTTTCCATGTATCTCTATCTAGGTGGTTCTGTTTCTTTGGAAAACCCTGATTAATACACTAAGAACAGACAAACAGGTAAATATAATATTAAGGTACTATATACCATATTACATTTTGGAATTTATTTTTTTAAAATCCAAGTTTTCTTTTTCCTATGCCCAGAGAGATATTTCTACCATCAGAGATAGTACTCAGTACAAGTCATGAAGGGAAGGGGTAATCTCAGGTGAACAAACAAGCATTTGGAGCTGGTAGAGCATAATTAGACTTCAAGCTCTTAATGCAATAAAAATACTATTTGGAAAGAAATGACTTACAAAAGACTGAGGAGCAGCCCAGAGGAATGCTTCTGGAATTTAACCTATAAGCTACCCAGCCAGAGTTCTTATTAAAATACAGATTCTGATTGAATAGGGTGAGACAAAGATTCTACTTTCAAGTACTCAGGTAATGGCAATGCTGCTGGTCTAAAGGCACACACACAGAGTAGGAAGGCCACAGAGCAGTGGTGACAGCAGTGTACCAGCAACAGCAGAATCTCCTGGGAAATCAGGAGAAATACAAATCCTATAGGATAAGGAAACTTGTGGAGCTTATTGATCTAAATCAGCTGTTTACACCAGACTAGTCAGATTATTTTCCTTAAGAATGAAAGAACAGTTTTTCAATACATTAAAAATAAATGTAGCATACTAGAACCTATTAGATAGGTTAATAGAAGAATAACAATTTCTTATAAGAATAACAATTTCTCTGCAAACAATTTCTAAAGTCATGGTCCCTGCAATTACACTTAACATGTAGCCTTTACACTGCAAGAAGCCTGCTCTGATAATATATATGCAAAGTATTCCAATTCAGTTGGACCACTTGCAACTTGGTCACAAAACAGATCATTTCCATTTTTCCTAGGTAATACGGGAAAATACTTGGTAAAGAAACCAACCTGAGTTTTATATTTCCTTGTGTTAAGAAAGTAATCAACCACACCATGGTTTAGCCAAACTTCTCCAGAGTATAGATTACGCATTGCTTGGTTGATATTTAAACATAGGTCAACATTTTGATGTATGCATTTGTTTATATACACAGATGCATAAATACCTTAATGGTCTGAAACAAAATATGCATGAAGGACCCTTTACTTCAAGGTAAACTGCAAATATAGTGTCTTTATCAAATAAAAGATTTCAATTTTCTGAATGTGAAGCCAATTGATTATAAAATAGGTTTTCCCAACACTTTAAAATATATTGATGCATTCAAAATTTAGATTCCGTACCTTTTTCTACTTCAATAAAAGTTTGAATTTAGAAGTTTACCTCTCATTCAAAACCTAAGCACACAGTTCTATCCAAAATCTATTTTCAAAGAAATCAGTTACTAAAATATTGTAAAGCACTATACTTGATTAGAGTGAACACCTCCAATCTTGGTAGGCCTATATACTTAAAAACACTGGTCCTCCATTAGGGGCAATTTTGTCTCCTAGAGGACATTTGGCAATATCAGAAGACATCTTTGATTGTCTCAACTGGGGAGAGGGTAAAGAGGAATGGGTGTTTCTGGTATCTGTTGAGTGGAGGTCAGATATGCGGCTAAACAACCAGAAAATACAGAAAACAGTGCCCAGGGCATAGAATTATCTGGTCTAAAATGCCAATATGAATGTCCCTTGTTCATCTTAATTACATTCCTAGCACGGTGTTAAGCACAATAACACTCGATTATTAAATAAAACTACCTTGTCCAGCTAGGATCTTAGAGATATAAAAGTTAGAGATATAAAAGTGAGTTATCACACATGTGATATCCAAAATTACAGAACAGAATTGTAGTCATTGTCAGAACCAAAAAGAAATGAAAAAATCCTCCCATCCAGTCAAATTTCTCTAATTTGGGAAGACAATGTTTCTCATATGGGAGACGCTATCTAATGTACTGATAACGACAGTGTTAAGAAGAGGCAGTTTTCTTAACAGTAAAAATTAGATAAGACCTTTACAAATTTATTAAAATATCAGTTTTCACTGTTTCCTTTCAAATAGTACCAATGTCCCATACTCTTCCTCAAGTTAATAAAGTATTTCCTCCATAAAAATTAAGACCAAGGTTATATCATAATAAGTGATATTTCACAAGCAGCAAACAAAATAAAATGTAATTGTTTTCAAAATACAAATCAGAGATCTTGTTGGCCTACAGGCATTTATACTTCTGAGATTGCTGGGATTTAAACTGTCATGAGAAATTCTGAACTGGCTTACATTTTTGAAACACAGGAACTGACAGCCACAAGGCCAAACATACCCTTAATAATCGATTCAGCCGCATACAGATCTCGTTTGTAGGTCACCTAAAGGACAGATAAACCTCATTAGACTTAACAGAGCAGGAAGGAATGTGAAAGCAATAAAATAATGCCCCCAAGGAAATTCCTAATTTTGAAGAAACTATAAACACATAATACTGACAATTTCTGAATTAGAATTGCATCAGCAAATTCCCATTAAAAAAACTATTCCTACAAATCATTGAAGATTTGTTTTTAAATCTTTGAATAAATTGTTATGTGTCAGTGGTTACTGAAACCTTAATATAACTTAAGGATTATAAGCAAAGAAAATGTGGTAGTGGTCAAATAAAAGCATTAATATTACTATTTAATAATAAGTTTTATATTAGAAGGAAGGAAAAGATGGAGGGAAGAAATCTCTGTACAACAATCACCAAGTTGCCTTCTCAGTTGAAATGAGATAATTCTCAAAGATGAATTCACATTAAGAGGGACTGCCTTCTGAATTGAGTATTATCTGTATCTATCCACATAAGATTTGCCTTGTAAGATTTTATTAAAACACGGCTCCAATAGAAAGCGTACAGGGCACCAATGTGTGCCTAAGAACAATGATGACCTTTCCTTAAAAACACACAGCCTCCTTGTAATCGTAATCTGCTCCTTGTAATCTGCTCCTTGCCATGGTATGTGTCTGTGTATGGCAGATACTTCCCAGACCCCATCCAGTGAGCTCAAGTACAGAACATGTAAGTGCATTGCAGAATTAGTTCTCCTATATCACAGAGCTGAAAGATGGGGTGACTAACAAAATAGCTTATCAATAAGTACTTATAAGGTAATAGAACCTACATTCAAGCACCCAGATGACTATGATACAGATGGTCTAAAAATTCATTTTGAGAAATGCTCACCATATTAATACCTTACCACACCTATAAAATTGAACTTTTTTCCTCTAGATTATCTCATTACTGGATTTCTACAGAAACTTTGTTCAGCACAAGTGGGCTGAACATAGTGCACTTCTATGAAAAATAGATTCCTCTGCTATACCATTATCCTGGCAGGTAAATCCTGTACCAAAGCTACACCTTACTATCCAGAATTAAAGTGGCAGGTAACTTGGTAACACAGACAGAAAGGTGCTCAAGCAACTCAATCTAATGAAATCAAAAGTCAAACACTATATAATCTATACAACAAGCACATGGCAACCAAAACTAGTGATTCCCAGTACTATACCTACTATAGTTACTGATAATAATATGCATTTCTACTATCTGGAGAAAAAGTGATTAAAAAACAGACATTTAAAGGTTCATGTGATGCATTTTATCACATAAAAGATACTGATCTCATTCATTCATTAAAACAAATATTGAATAAGTACTATATTCTATGCCCTGTTTTAAGTGCTGAGAATAATGAAAGGAGTGAATAAAAATCCTTAACATATAGAGACTACATTAGTTGAGAATTTTATTTTTATAAAAGTAAAATTAATTTTTAATTCTTTTCTTGAAAATACCCAATTAACTAGATATCTGAAATCAGGCCTTATTAATATTTGCAATGTAAATGAAAATGTTTTTCTTATAACAATTGTCTGCTGTGGAGGGTAAACTCAGAAGAGAAACCAAGGGGAAGATGACTAATTATCATAATTCATTTTCTACTCCCTCCTATTTCAAGGGATAAATGCATTTTAAGTTAAAATAATTATGAAAGTACCTTTTTTCATATAATTCATGATGGATTTATGAATTTATAGAAAAATTATTCCAAATACTAAAATGACGTTTCTAGAATACCTATAAGACTTAATTTTCACATTGTACTCAGTTTTATGAATAAAATACATTTTTATGATAAAAAACCCAAAGGTTTTTTTCTCCTCTTATATTAAATACTTAACTGAATAACAAGAAAGACTCAAATTTATGATCTCCTTTTCCCTATAAGCTGTGTATACCTACTATACACAGTTTAAGGCTTTTTTGATTTTTAACATCTTCTACATACCTCAACTATACTTCTCAAATACTGATTTAATAAAAATAAACTACTGAAAATATTTCTTACAAACTTTTAAAGTATCTTCTTAAGAATAGCCTTTTTCCCCTAAATAAAACAACTAACTACTTCAAAGGGAATATTACTGGAAAATGTTGTAATTGTGAATTGATGAGTTATTCAATTTTTCCATTTAACTTTTACAGTAACATGGGTTGTTCTTTCCTTTTTTTTAATTGGGAAAAATACCCTAAACAATCAGTTTTGAAGTGATTTTGTTCTGTCAGCATGATCTGTAGTCTTTCTTTGACCTTGCACAATACTCTATTGTGGAAAATAATTACTTTAAAAAAGAAAATCAATCCTATAGTGATAGAAGCAAATGTCTAATTGACTTGTTTTCAAACTGTGCTCACTAGAGCCTCAGGGGCCACCTGAAAAACAGTAAAGGTGTTTGTGCAGGTGAAACTCTAACTCAACATCTGATACCTAGTTCAGCTCAATTTTTGTCCATGTTGTTCAATTGAGCTTCTATGCAATATTTCATCTGAGTAACGTGTTTAGCTAAAAAAAAAAAAAAAATTCAATAGAAGAAAAACCTGAAGCTCAGCGCTACAGACATAATTGTCTTCTCAAGTCCTAGGCCAGATTTCTCTGAGCTACTTCAAGATATACTCTGACAGAGACTAGCACACCTATATTTTGTTTCTCTTTGTGTGCTGAGTGAGACACAAAACAGTAAAACAGTCCTTTTACTGAGAACAGAGCCAATCCCAGTTGGCCACCAGCTTATATGAGACTACACTTAATGTTCTCTCACTTTTCCCCTCACAAGATAATATGTAACTCCAATAATTAGAAAAAGCCAGAAAAGCTTACATTTTAAAGATATACAATGTTACTATATAGATCTTTGGAATGTTTTCCATTTCATTATGTACATCTAGAAAATATTTTCTTGAGATTGGATAACTGTATGAAAACCTCTCAAAAGAAACAATGTCACCACATTGTACTTTTGAGGTTACAAAACTAAATAAAGACTATTTTGTTTCTTTTGTTTTTAAACAAAGATGCTAAAATACTTGAATCTAAAAAATGTAGTCCTCATGAAAAGGAATCCTCAAAAGTCATCTAATCCAATAGTGGCAACGATACAAACATTTCAGAAACTCCTTCTGAATTATTCAGACAATAGAATACAGTTGTTGAATTTCTTCAATAATTGACTATAAATCTTTTATGCCTTGAAGATGGTTTGGACATTTAGAAATAAGTCTATTCAAATTAAGTCTATATAGTGTAGTAAGTGACCAAGCTATATAATTAAAAATATATTGAACCAAAGATATGGTACAACTATGAATTAGAGGGATTAAAGTTCTTATGTAGACTAGACGAAATCTCATCAAAATAAGAGCGTTTACCGAGGCCTGCCGAGGCACAGCTACCGAAGGGAAGCATGAGGGTCATTGCTGGAAGCCAGTCCTTTACTCTTCAGTGTCGGGCTTTCTTATGGAAGAGGGTGGGAGTGCTGTAGTCCTTCTAAGAAGACGTTCTCTATCCTTCATGGTGATTTGAAGAAAACTGATGTTTTCTCCAGATCCCAGAGGAGCTAGCACAAGAAGGCTGGCATCAACCCTGAATGTTTACTGTTTGTATTTACTTTTACTAAAATTTGTATGTAAAATATAAAATAATACTCCTCCTGGAATTTCTGGTGGCAAGTGAAATAATACTAAGTGCAGTCACCAGAAATTTCACTGTGGAGTGAGCTCCTTGACTTCTGAGGAGTAGGAGAAGGTATCCTGTTTCATATTTCAGAATCCTTCCTTGCCTAACTGTTTTATAGTGGTGAAGTGCCTCTCGATTATGTCCAAATGTGTCTTTCACTGTGTCAGGTTTCTGAATACGTTCTGAATAAGGGTACTTGGCCCTGCCACCTGGGTCCAGTACCAGTCTTAGCATAACTGTACTAAAACTTTCCTTAGATTCATTTTTTTTAGTAGCAACATCTTTAGAATTACTGTATATATAAAACATAATTCTATTGTGTGATTTAACCAGCAATTAAAATACTCTCTCTAGTCATGCAAAATAAGATCACAAAATTTAAGTAAAAGCCTGTACTAAAGCCAAATCAAACAATATTAGCAAAAGGGGCTAAGTAATCAGCTCAGAAAATATAAAAAAGATTGAAAGTAGACAAAAGACCAAAAATAGAAAATAGGGAGCCTGAAAACAGCTGCAATATTTGCACTCAAAATAGTTTCACCTTGCTTAAAAGAAAAAATATGATACCAACAGAAAAAAAATCTTATAATGACTACCTATAAGATATTTTGCCCAATCTACTGCATTGTAGGCCTTTTATTAGAGTCCAAGGTCCCTTTGTGGCACATGATTCAAACTTCATTCATAAGAGTAAGGCTCTCTGCTTCCGCCCCAGTTTGATCCTGATCCCTCTAGGCCTGAAAGAGTATGTCACCCCTCGGCATGTGTTTCTCGGGGCTGCTGTGACAAAGCACCACACACTAGGGATCTAAAAGAACACAAAGTTATTCTTTCTCAGTTCTGGAAGCTAGAAGTTAGAGGTCAAGTTGTGGGCAGGACCGTGTTCCCTCTGAAGGTTTTGGGGAAGAATCCTTCCCAGTCTCTTTCTAGCTTCTGGTGATTGCAAGCAATCTTTGGCATTCCTTGACTTGTAGATGCATCCCTGCAATCTCTGCTCCATCAGCCAGCACATGGCATTTTCCCTGCATTCAGGTCTCTTCTCCTATTCTTACACCAACATCAGTCATGTGGATTTAGGGCCTACCCTACTCCATATTATGACCTCATCTTGTTTCCAAATAAGGTCACATTCACAAGTGCCAGAGTTTAGGACTCCAATACACATTTTAGGGGACAGTTCAAACCATAACAGCATGTGTGAAGTGATTCACTAGTGGAACCAAGAGAAGCACCCTGGAAAGGCCAGTCATGTCAGAGTACATTGACATTTGTTGTACACAAAAGGGAAACAGAGAGCCGAGATGCACCTGAGGACTAACACTCTCTTACTGGAGAAAACAGTGAAATACCAGCATTTAACAAAAGAAAAAAAGAAACCTACAAATGAAATTTGTGAAGATGGTGAAACAGAAAATTCAAAGAGTTACGTACTGCTTCCCTTTCCATCCATAGAATTCAGAGTGCTTTACAAGCTTGATGATTGCTCATAACACCCACAAGAGGTAAGTAATCACACCCCCAAAGATGTCAAAGTGAGGCCAGAGAGCACTGACATGTTAATAGCAACAAAATGCCTCACAGTTTCCACTTTTTTACTTGGCCTTCAAAATTAAGTCTACCAGACAGTCAAAAAGGATTCTACAGAGATATGGGTTGGGGTCTTTAACAATATCCCTAATTGGTAATTGCCAAAACCCTCATAATTAATATTTATACAGCAATAAGCCATATATAGAAAAGAATAATCCAAATAAAATGTTTACCTGCTCAGTTGAAGACATTTAGATATCCTTAAATGAGCAATAACACTGCAGGAGTTTTATCCACCAAGCAATAATCCAAGCCTGTCAATATTTTGGAATCTTGGAATTTAATAGTTTAATTATGTCTGCGACAACCTTAGCATACAGCAAGGCCCATCATGTTACTGTGTAAAATACGTAATCAAATTATAGGGCTTTCAGTTTTCAAATCAATGAGGAACTATGCACATGGACTCATAATCTCAGAGTTAGAATGAATCTTTACTATCTCAGTTGTTGGAAGATGTTTAATAAATATTTCCAAAGAACACAAGCAATATTTCAAAAGCAGCAATACTTATTTCAAAATTATGAAATAATCCAAATTCTATTTCAGAAAACATTGTTCAATCCAACTCATCTCTACTTTATGAAACAAAGGGGAGTCATACTCTAAAATATCTCTGGCCTCAAAAAGAAGCTGCAGTATGACAATGCTACGACCTTGTTTGCAACTATCACTGCATTCCTTCCAAAAGAAATGAATTTGCCATTAGAAAAGTTGGGCCTTGCCACAAAAGAGAGTCCAGTTCTTCACTGGAGGTCAGGGGAAGAAGGTAGGTCCAGCTACTACTCCACCGTGTCAGAACTGTGGCAGATACCCTTTCAACCCACATAAGTTGGAGCAACCACCCCAGGGCCTGGAAGGAAATGTTAATATTGCAGGCAGAGTTGTAGCTTTAACCCCATTGAGTGAACAGAATAAAAGGTTATCCACAGAGAGTAAGAATAGAGGGAAAAAGTGAATAAAACAATCTTATGGACTATAAAATGGAATTTCCTTGAATTATCTCAAAGCAAATTTTCTTGAAGCCAAGCAATATAAATGGTACATTTTGATGGCTCCATAAACCCAGTGAATCTCCTTTAACTCCCGTTGTGTTCTATCATTTTTAAATGCGCTCACACGCACACACAGGGACCAGCACAGAGAAGAGCCCTAGCAAAGTATCATCCGTCTTACCTTCCAGAGGTCAGGTGATCCTTCTACAAGTTTGGCTTTAGTGTGACAGTATTTTAGAGCCAATTGCAAACACTCAGTTCCAAATTCCAAGTCATAGTCACTACACTGGTATAGGGGGGAAAAAAAAAAAAGAAACAGAAAGTTAAACTAAAATACAATTTTAAATAAAACTAAGCCTTTTATTTCATAATCAATTGCAAACAGACGAGAAGAGCCTAGAGAACTCACACTAATCAGCTATAGATTAAGTTATAGAATAATCCCTCCATGCCCTAAAAGCATAACAAAATGAATAGTAAATAGGAATATTATAACCTTAAGAGTTTTGAGCTTCCTCAGTAGTTTCAGATGTCAAATAGATATAATACTTTGTTTCCTTTGCTCATAAGTTACCTTTCCAAACATGTTTATAAAAAAGCCTAAAAGGACAGCTGAAGACTACTGTATCAGAACTGTCAATAAATATATACCTATAAAATACAAACCCTGTATCTTTTATTTGTATCAAGACACCTGCGGGTCACAGTTCTCTTTGATTTTAATATTTAAAACATCAGTAAATCCTCTTTAAATGATTTATATTTTGTTTGTAAACATGGAAATAGTTCAGTTTTTCATTGCAAGAAAAAGTGTGAAGGTCTTTCAGAGATTTAGTAAAATATAGATAATATCTTTTAGCATTGACAGCTGAACCATCAAAATAACCAAGCAGTAATATAATTCAGTTGAATAATATTCACAGAGTGTCTATTTTTTCTCTGAGCTCTGTATTAAGTACCAGCTATATAAAGTAAATTATACATGTAATGTGAATGTAATCGATGCAGCAACAGAAGGATGTCCAAAGGTATACTTCATCCTATGCGAGAACATCAGGAAAAACATATCAGAGGAAATTGGTCTCTGATCTCTATCTTAAAACCTAAATAAGACTGGAAGAGGGAGATTATCTTCAAGGCAAAAGGTGCCATGCAAAGTTACAAAGATTTGAGGCATTTGGTAGATTTGCATTTTAGAAAGAGCATTTCCATGTAAAGACTGAATATGGCATCTAAAGCTGTTTTATTGTAGTGAAGGTTACAAAATTCTAACTGTAATGGTTTGTAGAATTAATGAAGAAAATATAACCAAACATAGATAGAGCTCTTATCAAAAGAGTCCCAGTTAACATCTATTTTGATGAACTACATATTTCCTAGCTATTTTCATTTTTAGCTGAGTATTATCAATAGTAGTTACATTCAATACCTTGAGATGAGCCTTGGCAAACCTTCCTTCACTTTGTATTCCCAGTATCTACACAGTATTATCTATTAGTATGTGAGATGAATGTATAGAGTTCTCTTTAATACATGGTTAAATCCCACAGATGACTAACAATAACCTTGACTCTTTTCCTGACTCATTCCAGAGGCAAACTAGCAAACATATTGACATTTTGGATAACTTTAAAAGTGCTCAGAGAAGTACATATTGAGAAGAGTGCACAGGAACAGTTATTAATACTTCTTCCCACCTCAGGTGGTCATGTGAAACATAATTGATGCTATGCTCACACGGTCATGAAGTGTACTAGCCAAGAGTGCAACAGCCTACAAATTGCATTAAGGCTGTGGGATACCAGTCACTAGCAACAAAGGGAAACAGACAACCCACAGGTCAAGTATGTGTGAAATACACACAGGAAATGGAGGCTGAGCAATCTTAGCAGAGAGACTAGCCTGAACTTGTCATTCATTATATAGACTAATATTACAACTATTTATGAGAGTGTTTATAATTTTTTGCAGTGAAATCTTTTAGCAGCAAGTTCAAAAAATATATGCTTAATAAAAAACTAAAGTCTAAATTTGTTTATCAAGAACACTGATGGATTTCTGCTTGTGTCTAGGATATAGAAAACTGCCATAAATGATGCTCGTATCTGAACAAAAGAAAAAGCAGGCAAACTACAGATGTATAACTTTTTTTACCCATCAGAACTGAGGTCACAGGACATCCAAGGGGCTTTATAGATAAGAAAAGACATGCTTCCAAGGAAAGAGCATCCTCCTCTCTCCTTGGTAATCACTGGCTCAACTATGGCAGAACACAAGATGAAGAGACACTCCTCAGGCAAGAGTCAGGTTAGGTAAGAAGAAAGTAAAAAATCTCAGCAAATTGCTAAAGACTGAGTGGAGGCTACTGAAAGAATGCAAAACCTCTGGGAACCACAATCACAAGAGGAGTTCACAAGCACTTGCAGGCTACTCTCTAGAGACCTCCTATTGGGTGCTCATGAAGTGATACATTATTTGATTGAGCTTGTGATTAGATATATATTCTAAATTCAGGCAATCACTACCCAAAAAAAATTAAGTTAAAAGAGTCAATAAAATAAAATGGAATCATAAAAAGTGCTAAATTAATCCAAAGGCATGCAGAAAAGTGAGAAAAAGAACAAATGGAACCAATAGAAAGCAACCAGTGAGATGGTACTTTTAGTCAAAGTTAATGAAGAATGAATAATTGCACAAAATATTTGACATTTATTATCCAGTATTGGTGGTGGTGCGGGGATCATAGTGATGTCACTGATCACATCAGAAATATACAGACACCAAGAAACATTTGCCTTCTCAAATCTGGTCCCCCAAGACAGTGTCAAACAGCCTTCTCCACAGGCAGAAGCTATAAGGTCAGTTATTGAAGGTCCTCAAAATACACAGTCCAGCCCAGTCATGCTATAGGGAAGCTCAGAGTCAACAAGCCCTACCTACAAAACTCACCAAGTCCCACCAGGCCCCAACAGTTACACATGTGCCAAAAATCAATTAAGTTTTAGGGTAGAATCTGAATTTCTCCTAGCATTCAAGGTCTCAAAAGAATTTAGTACTCATGCATTCTTAATTTTTCCCCTCCATGTTTTTTAATAGACTTTTAGAGAAGTTTTAAGTTCACAGCATGATGGAACAGAAGGTACAGAGATTACTATATACTCTCAAGACCTCATATACTGACTCTCCTACAATCAAAACCAAGCAACAGTGTTATGTGTATTAACAACATAGTGTTATGTGTCAACGTATGTGTAAACCTACACTGATACATCATTATCACCCAAAGCCCATAGTTTACATTACAATTCATCCATGGTATTATACATTCTATGTGTTTTCATAAATGTACAATGACATATATACAATGTAATATCATACAGACTAGTTTCACCACTGTATATAAAATTCCACTGCATTGCACCTATACACATCTCTTCCTCCTGAAACCCTTGCAACCACTGATCCTTTTACTGTCTCCATGGTTTTGTCTTTTCAAGAAAGTCATATAGTTGTAATCACACAGTAAGTAGCCTTTGCCACTTGGCTTCTTTCACATGGTAATAGGCATTTAAGGTTCCTCCATGTCTCTGAGTGACTTAATAGCTAATTCCTTTTTGGCAGTGAATAATATTTCATTGTCTTGGTATTCTAGTTTATTTATATACTCACTTACTAAGACATCTTGGTTGGTTCCAGTTTTGGCACTATATGAATAAAGCTGCTATAAACATTCACGTGCAGGTTTTTAAGTTGACATAAGTTTTCAACTCATTTGGGTAAATAACAAGAAATGTTAGCCACTGGATCATATGGTAAGAATAAATTTAGTTTTATAAGACACTGCTAAACCGTCTTCCAAAGCAGCTATACCATTTTGCATTCCCACCAGCATGAACAAAAGTTCCTACTGCTCCACATCCTGGGCAACATTTGCTGTTACTAGAACGGTCAAAATCTGAAACAGGTATGTAATGGTATTCTCAATGTTGTTTTTGTTTGTTTGTTTTTTCTCAATGTTGTTTTAATTTGAATATTTTTTTATGAAATAAGCATCTTTTCATATGCTTATTTGACTTTTGTATATTTTCTTTGGTAAGGTGTCTGTTAAGGTCTTTAGCCCATCTTATAATCAGGTTTTTTGTGTTCTTATGGGTGAGTTTTAAGAGTTCTTTGTATATGTTAGATTACGTTTCAAATATTACAAATATTTTCTGCCAGTCCGTACCTGTCTTCATTCTTCTGACAGTGTCACAGTGTCCTTCACAGAAGTTTTTTTTTTTTTTAATTTTAATGAAGTCCAGCTTCTTAATTATTTCTTTAATGGATCATGCCTTTGGCGTTATATCCAAACCCAAAGACATATAGAATTTCTCCTATCTGCTAAGAGTCCTATAGCTTTATATTTTACATTTAGGTCTGTGATCCATTTTAAGTTAATTGTGATGGGTGTGTGGTCTGTGCTTAGATTCATTTCTTTGCAGGTGGATATCCAGTTGTTCCAGCAACATTTGTTGAAAAGACAATCTATTTTTGCTATATTGTATTGCCTTTGCTCTTCTGTCAAAGATGAGTTGATTATATTCATGTGGATCTATTTCTGGGCTCTCCATTTTGTTCCACTGAACCATTTGTCTATTACTTACACAAACACCACTGTCACCATCCCTGTAGCTTTACAGTAACTCTTGAAGTCAGATAGTGTACACTTCTTACAAGACAAATTTACTGGCAAATTTCCCCAGTTTTTGTCTGGGAAAGTCTATTCTTCCATTGAAAGGATAATTTCATGGGGTTGGTAGGATCGTTCCTGTAAAACACTTAAGATATTTCGCTTTTCTTTCTTCTTGTTTGCTTGGCTTCTGTGGAAAAGTCAGATGGAATTTTTTTTTACTGTCTCTCAGCTATTTGGGACAACAGATGTAATTCTTAACTTTGCTCTTCTGAAAGGCATTTTTTTCTTTTGTTCAAAATTTTCTTTATCTTTGATTTTGGGCAGTTTGAGCATAACATGCCTAGATATAGTTTACTTGGCATTTTTCCTGCTTGTTATTCTCAGACCTTCCTGAATCTGTGGTTTGGGTTCTAACATTAATTTGGAGAAATTCTCAGTCACTATTGTGTCAAATATTGTTTCTGTTTCTTTGTCCCTTTCTTCTTCTGGTATTCTAATTATGCATGTGTTATGTGTTTTATAGTTGCCCCACAGTGCTTGGATATCCTGTTCCATGCTATTCTTTCTCTCCTTGCTTTTCAGTTTTACAATTTTCTATGAAGTTATCCTCAAGG